CGCTCCAGTCTTTAGTAAGAGTATATATATATAGTTATGTGACAATATATAAAAATATTGTCACATAACTATGAACTACTAGAGCGCAATTTTTGTGAAACAAACGGCAAAAATTAAAAATTAAAAAAACAGGACAAACATGAAGGGCACAATGAAACCATTCATTTTTCTCATTCTTCTTTTGACTCCCCTTTCACTGTGCCTCTCACGTACAAGGCTCGCCACGTTGATGAAGTTGAGCGCAAGCTGCCCCCATCCCCATGTGCCATAACAACCCACTTGTACGCTGTGAGAAAGAGGCAGAGTGAAGGGGGAGGGGAAAAACACAGGGAGGAGAGATGGAGAGCATACAAACAAAGAATGATAAAGGGAAAGTAAGGGAAAGTATGGAGTGTGGAGTGAAGATGAAGGCAAAAGAGGATAAGAAAAGGCTCAAGAATGAGTCTGTCCTTGATGATAGAGAGGACATACATTGTAAGGATGACGTGGATAAGCACATGAAAGACCTAGCTGAGCATTCTCAGTGCAACAATTGCCACGACTGGTGGCATTGAGCATGCCCGCCATACACCCCCGACAAATGGCATGTCAATTGTAGGCCAAAATGAAAGAAGAACGGTCACCACAAAAGAGCATGCATTCCGCATAGCGTCCGTGGCCACAAAATGGACATATAGTGTCCGGATGCAGAGGGTGCCTGCACTCAGGAACGGTGGGACAGTCCTCTGCACACATGGATGCAGAAACCATGTCATTGTAGTGATTGTGACAAAAACGATGGCGGCTACAGCCGAGTGTAATAGTGTTTGTGGTTGTGCAAAGGAGAAGGTTGCAGAGTGTTGGTACATTGTCTTGCTGCAGCACGGGGCCAGAGGAATGATCTTCGACATAAAAGAGATTGCGGACGGTTTGTTGTGGCAAGAAAACAACATCGTTTTGTAAGAAATCAGTGACATCAATCATGGCATGGACCATGGTGCCATTGTACCACAATTCCCAGTGGTCAAAGGCATGTACAATGGCCATGTAATGGCTAGGGCCGTGCACAATGTAGACAGAGATGTGGGATGGAGGATTAAACCACTCACATGCCCGAGCATTGCGTAGTTCAAGTTGACGGTCCCTCATTGCTACTTGTAGGACAGAAATGGTAAAGCCTCCTTCGCTGGTATAATTACAATCCTCTTGGCTGTTGTTAGGGAAGATCAGCATCAAGTTGAAGGGTGATTGCAAGGAAGTCTCTGATGGTGTGTAAAACGGGCGATGGAGAATGTGAAGACAAATATTAGTTGTTGTCAGATCACAGAGATTGGTAAGGTTCTCAGGTTGGTTTGTTGGATGTTGGCCAACAATTTGCAGATCACCCAGATGGTGTTGCAAGCCCAAACTGTGTTGGGTTGTTTGTTGGTCAGTCATTTGCCGATCACCCATGTGGCCTGCGTGTGGCGGAGCCCAAAATTGTGATTCGTCCAAACAATGCTGGTCAGCCATTTGCAAATCCCCCATTTGGTCTACGCGTTGTGGGGTCAACGACAATCCTGGCAAATCATGTTCCAATCCCTCAACGTTTAGGGCTGCATCCTGAGTAGGGACTGTACTTAGAGTCGGGAGTGTACTATGGGCAACAGATGCATCCTGAGTAGGGACTAGTGGTTGCCTGCAGGCAGCTGGACTGTCCGCAAGAGGCATAGGAGCGGATATTGTCGTTTGAAACAAAGGAACCGCAACAACCTGTGGAGGAGGCACAAAGGGAATCGGGGCAGACAAAGAAACAGGTTGCTGATCCCCGGACAAGTGATGATGCCGCGGATGTCGTCGGTGATACACAACAAGAGGAGTAGTGGTGTTGCAAACAGAAGCTGAACTTGTACCTAGCAACGCAGGTGGAACAATGGGAACAATGGAAACTGGAGAGTCTGTTCGCAAATGGGGGTGGTGAGGAGGAACGCAGTCGTCTACGACCAAGCACAAACAAAGATGAGAGGGGGGTGCATTGGGCAAGATTTCGGAGCAAAGGATGTGAGTGTGAGTGTCGGAGAGATTGTGATGTTCTTTGCATTGGAGCTGCAGGACAGGAAGCTGTAGCAGTAAAAACTAAAGTAGGGGGAACTACAGTTAGGGAAACTGCTGTACTGAAAACTGCAGCAGTGGAAACCGCAGTAGTAGAAACTGCAGCAGCGGAAACTGGAGCAGTGGAAACAGGAGCAATGGAAACTGCAGCAGTGGATACTGCAGCAATGGAAACAGCAACAGTGGACACTGCAGCAATGGACACTGCAGCGGTGGACATTGCAGCAGTGGAAACCGCAACAGTGGACACTGCAACAGTGAAAACTGCAGGAGTGGAGACTACAGCAGTGGAAACTGCAGTAGTGGAGACTGCAGCAGTGGAAACTGCGGTAGCAGCAAATGAGCAAGAAGGGGCAGGACGAGAGCATCGTGGGGGCGAAGAAGAAATTGGATGATACAAGGACCATCGCAGCATGCGTCGGAACCACTGAGAGAGACGCATCACATGCGTAGGATAGCGACGTTGGCGGGAGTGCATGTAGCAGGTCCACCCCTTAGCAAGGGTTGGTGGGGAATGCCCACGCGAAAGCATACAACGAGTAAGTGTTGTTGCCGCAGTTCGAAAGTCCAGCCAATTGTTACAGATTTGTTCAAATCTGGTCAATTGCCCAGTGAACACACCAGCCGGTTGATGGGAAGGAATGTTGGAGGTCGCACTTGGATAACGAATGACAGGGAAGTCCCAAGCAGCCGCTTTATTAAAGATGCTCATGCGAAGCGAGCCATCGGAACTGATTTGTAGATGCATACCTAAAGCTGTAGTCTCCTTCCACTCAAGCCCATAGAGCTCTGGTGGAGGAGATAGATATAGATATAGAAGTATAGAAGAAGAGGTTGGGGGAGATGAGGAGGTTGAAGGTGATGGCGAGTTGGAGGGGGATTGGCATTGGTCTTGCTGGTGTACATCTCCTTCTTCTTCTTCCATTCTTATTTCTTCTTCTTCCTTTGTGTATTTCTCAGGTTCATTCATTTCAGTTGCAATCGAATGGCGTTATCTCTCCTTAAGTTAGTTCACTTCTAGATAGCCAGGATCATAACCCGATTCCTTAGAAAAAAAACTAGAAGGCAACCCGTTTTTGAAGCGAAGAGGAAGAACTTCGGAAGAAGTCAATAAACCCTCTTTGCACCTGCTTTCAACTTGGAACCTTGGAACTTGAGCCGACGGTGCAACGGGTCACTGAGAAATACTTTAAGGTCAAAGCAATTCCCACTGAATCTGAACATGCCAAGCCTGTCTTTCAGTTGCCTCTGCAGGAGTAGGGAACCAGCCTGCTAGAGCCCTTATTCGTTTGTGAAGTACTTGCATGAGTGCAGCAGTGCTTATTCAGAGACAGCTGCACTTTGTCTTCTTGAGCTGTTCTTTAAGCTTGGCAATTGTGGGCTCCTACCATCACTGGCTCTAGCATTCATAGGGCCTACAGAGGTGAAGTAGAGGTGTCACACAGATTAGGAGGCATCAAGAAGGCGGCCTTCAGTAGGAGATAACTGGCATGCCATGAGAAGAACAGTGGAAGGGGAAAGGATGCTGGGCTATGTTGCTTGTAGGGAGGTGGCTTGTGGCTTGCTGTGAGCCTATTAAGCCACCAGTACCTTTTCCCGCTTGAAAAACAAATGCCTGCTGGTTAACACGGGGGGCGGGCAGCTTCGGCACTACCGGCACGAAATGGCAGGTGGCGCCAGCCAAAATCGAATCAGCGCCGGTTCGTCTTTTTTTGGCGCGCAGGTCGATTTTAGGCTCGGCACCGACAGCTGAGAAAGGTACTGCCGGTTTAAACAGTGACTTCTTGTAACAGATACTTGGCTGTGGTCCTTTGGGGATACAAACTTAAGTTGTAACCACAATAAGGGTTGTGCGGAGGGAACTACACTGGAGGATGGCAAGAATGTGATTTAGATCATCTGCTTTTCATTTCTTTCCTAGCATTTTGTAATCCCACACATGAATTCAACCATATATGAGTCCACGGTGTTTGGCACTTCTTGTATGGGCATGAGTGTTCCCTACTTTGATGCAAGATCCCAGATGGACGCCATGAGAAGCATTAAGGGCATCCCACATACAAACCTAGGGGAAAGCCATGGAAAGGAGATGATAATCCACAACCTAGGCTTTAAACAAACAAGAGAAGAGGAAACTCATCTTCATTCATAGCCTTGCAAGCTCCAATCCAACTTGCCGAGTCCAGGAATTAAACCCGCAACCTGTGTTCTCAAATCAGAGCACAAACCACAAGGCAAAGTGTGTTTGAGCTTTGAATAAAACCAAAACAGTTGATGTCAACTTCAGCCCACCCCAGCATGGTTAGTACCATCAGCCCGATGTACCCAGACTCAACTCCGCTGAAATGGCCCCTTGCACACAGGAAAGGGTAGGGAGGAAAAAGGTCCGGATACATGGGAGATCATAAGGAAACAGGTATGGTAATAAGGAAGGTCAAACTATGATTATTTCTGATGCATATTGAACAAAGGTATATAGGATCTGTCAGAAGAAATCACTGTTTCACAGGGGGAGAAACTGAAGGCAGATGAGAGGCCTAGCATGGGGTTTCTAGAAGCAAATTGTTGTCTGCTGTTGATGATTGCAAAAGATAGCGGGAAGGTCATCTAAAGAGCTAAGATTCCAAAACGGCAAGCAGTCTGGGAGGTTAACGGGACTGCGGCCCAGAACCAAGCATGATTTGCTGATGCAGAAGGAAGTGGACAGATGCCGCATGGAATAGAAGGGGAGTACAGACTCCAGAGAGGTTTTTTTTCTCCAAAAAAAAAGGTAGTTCAAAATACACTAGAGTGACTAGACAATCAACAATCATGGTTAGGATAGACAATCAACAATCATGGTGAGCGTTGTCCTCATCCAACTTTGCAGCAACCTAACAGTATGGTTATTGGTCAAACGTTTTGCGATGTGTTGACTGTACACTGAGCAGATGAGCAGGGTGTTGGGTATCGGCTGGGATGGAATCATTGTGAACAACATTGAAAGAAAGAGTGAGTTGTCAGCCTCTGACAGCCTCACAGGGGTCAGCATGTCAAGTGATGGTGAACTGCCAGACCTCTCTGTTAGAGGGGCAAGTGCTTCATCTGGAGTCTTGTCAGCTACATTCACTGTTGTGCCATCTGAGGTAAGCTAAACCCTCCCTTCCAAAGTAGCTCTATTTCTGGGCTGTAGTTTACCGTGCTGTAATGTTAGACCTGGTTTGTAGATTGGACCAGGTGTATGAGGCGGAGCATCTGCAGGGGACACGTCGGACCAGATAAATGAAGAGCAGCTGCAGCACCCACTGCTTCCACCAAAAGCAGTGAAAGTGGGACAGAAATGCAAATGTTATGGTAACCTTGAGGAAGGAACTGGCAGACTTGACAGTAATGCCAGTGATTTGCTAAAATGATCACATTTGGGGGAGGGGAGGGAGGGGAAGAGGAACACACACACACACACACACACACACACACACACACACACACACACACACCCACACACACACACACACACACACACACAGAGAGAGAGAGAGAGAGAGAGAGAGAGAGAGAGAGAGAGAGCGAAAGAGAGAGAGAGAGAGAGAGAGAGAGAGAGAGAGAGAGAGAGAGAGAGAGAGAGAGAGAGAGAGGACATAAAAATCGAACTGACTCAGTGCATCACATTAGACAATGACATGAACCAAAATAAGTTATCTCCTGCACATCTTAGGCTGCCTATAGGATTGCTTCTTGACCTTGGAAAACAGAAGGGCGAAGACCACAGCCAGGCCAGCAGAAGGAAGATGCTGAAGGAATATGATTCATCAACGATTCTGACTATGGGAGGTGGGTTTTCGATGACAAGTTGGGTTTGCAACTTCGCACCCACTGGATGTTTTCCCTCCATCTGACCCAATTATTGCTCCTGAAGCAATCTGCAGGGAGAAAAGAGGGAAGACATGCTGTGGGAGCTGTCAGGGAACATGCAGTTGTAAACTCTAATGATTTGGGAGGGTGCAATCTCGTTGTCAAGGATGGACTGATGGATGTGTGGGCAGTTTGCGCAGAGCCGCACAGATGTGGGGACCTCACAACCGTTCGATATTTCTCTACTATTTTGGAATGGGGTTCTATTTGGTGCTTCTTTTGACAACAAACACACACATACACACCCCTGACAACCTGGCTGTTTGGCGCAAAGCGATGATATATTCGGGATCGCGTGTCTGCCGCTTCGCCTGATCAGGGCAACATGACAACACCACAACTTTCTCCTCTGCACGGCTACAGGTACTGTCACACTCAGCTGCAGGCATCATCGTTTCTGCCCGGATCGCTACTGCGAGGCACAAGGCCTCGTGTGGCATACTGATACCACACGGGCCCCAGTTAGGGCCCGGTTCTGTAATAGGCACAGTTTAGGCCTAGGTACCAGGTCACGACAGTCCCAGCTAGGTCCAGGTAGGCCTAGGAACCGTCGGTTCAGTTTAGGGTCCGGTAGGCCTCGTTTAGACCCCACCAAACCCAACGGCTAGTTGTTTAGGCCAGGTACTGGTCCATCGGTAGGCCCAGCCGGCGGCGCAGTTTAGGCGCCACTGATTCAGATTTCGAAATCTGATCTGAACCGTTGGGCCCGATCAACGGTCCANGGTCCATCGGTAGGCCCAGCCGGCGGCGCAGTTTAGGCGCCACTGATTCAGATTTCGAAATCTGATCTGAACCGTTGGGCCCGATCAACGGTCCAGACCCGAAGGCACTCAGTAGGCCTGAGGCCGACCCAGCACTACATAAGCTGGGTACCAGCCTCAGTCAGGTAGGTTAGTAGAGACAGGAGGTTAGTCTACGCGTTAGTCTTCAGGATTAGCGCAGCGCTCCAGCGTTAGCAGGATTAGCGCCGCGCAGCAGCGTTAGTGTGAGCGGCGAGGAGAGATTGAGCACAGCGGCGAGGAGGAGTTAGCGCAGCAGTGGAACAGCGCCAGCCACCGGCCCAGCCCACGGCCCAGCGCCAGCCCGCTGCAGCGCCATAGCTACCAAACCAGGTACCAGGGAGGAAGGCCTTGCCTTCTCTCAATGGCTAGTTGTTTAGGCCAGGTACCGGTCCATCGGTAGGCCCAGCCGGCGGCGCAGTTTAGGCGCCACTGATTCAGATTTCGAAATCTGATCTGAACCGTTGGGCCCGATCAACGGTCCA